TTATTACTTTCACACCATCTAAAATGGTTATTGCCACGCCACTAAAATGACTATTTCCACTCTAACTACTAAACTAAAAAAATGGTGACCATGAATACATAGTCAAAAGGAATACATTTCAGAAAGGGACATGCCTCTAAATCCTAAAGGCATGAGCTACAAACAAGGAAACATACACCTTTGAATACAAGGGCAAAAACAACCTATACACTTAATTACTATGTATAGAGGAATGGAAAAACAAGCTATACAAAGTATATACAATAAAAGACTAAGAAACTAAAAGGAGAACACATACTTTATGATCATGATAAGAAAATGTCTAAGAAACACATCCTCTCTAGTAGATTTCTCTAGAATCTAACCTTCACCCTTCTTGGACTTATCTCTTTCAAAAGGATCCTTGGGAAGTAGGTTTTCATTAGTAAGGTTAGTGAAAATTTCAATTGTGTCACTGCTTCTCAAGTTCTATGTTGCTTAAAACTACATCCGACATAAAAAGGTTAGTAAATATTAAAAGTTTGCCACCATGTCATATTCTATGTCAATTGAATTATAAATGACAAAAAATCTCATCATAAAATCATTGTTTTGTACTAGACTATGGATCATGATTCTAGTAAATATAGTATGAGAAACACCAATAAATAGGCTTGACTTTAATTTCCTTTGCGTTAGTTTTTTTTTCTCTTTGTGATTCCTAATTTTGGCCAGGGTGGGATTGTTAGGCAGTGGGAGAATGTCATAATTCTCATAGTTTCCCTTGTATATAAAGTTTCTAGGTAGGACTCCATTTTCTCTACTCAAAGGTCGTAGTTCTTCCCATCAAAGAAAGGATGGGAAACATACGAGAAACTTGATTCAACATCTAGTTCAAAGGCCCCTTAAGAAGAGGGTTCTAATACGAATTTTTGGTTATTTTGAATTTTTGATAAGGAAGAATAATAGATAGAGAAGGCAACCTGAGCAAGATAAACATCCCTAAAATTATGGAGAAAAGTAAATAAGGTCACTATTGTTGCATTGTGCTAACATTGCTTCTACAAGCTTCGTTTGGTATGGAAAATTGATAAGTAGTCTCCTTGATCAGATAAGAGGTATCGTTTGATGAAATGCATTTAATGTTTACATTAAATGATTTGAACACTTATCTTCATCATAATGAAAAACACTAAAGACAAACAAAACAAACTTGTGAGTTGGACTCAAAGTGTTACGATGGTCATCTTCTCCAAGCTACTATATAAGAAGATTCAAAACTCAAGAAAGACATGAACACAAATATACATATGAGAGACAAAACATACATATAGAAACACTTGTATAGAAACATATTCTCTGTAAATTTATTATTTCTTGCAAACACCCATTACTTTATTGGTTGTATAACGTCTAAGTGAGACAAACACAATACTTTTGTAACCTTTATAACCATTGTTATAAGGTTGAGCCTAGAGAGGCTTATCTGAAAAAGAATATTTGTTTTGAGCCTGTAAAGACTTGTTTGAAAAAGAATACTTATTTTGAGCCTAGAGAGGCTTGTTTGAAAAAGAATACTTGTTTTGAGCTTAAAGAGGCTTGTCTGAAAGAATAGTTGTTTTGAGTCTGGAGTGACTTGATTGTAAAAGAATACTTGGTTGTTAAGTTTGGAGAAGTTTTTTGTTAAAAGAATATTAAGGTAGTTGTTTGAAGAAGCAAGTTAAAGAATACTTAGGAGTTAAGATTGAGCCAGAAGTGACTTGTTAAAAAAATACTTATATCTTTATTGAAAGATAATGTAACTCAATTTAATTGAATTAAGAATTGGGCATAGTTTCGGTGGTTGAGACAAACTAATATAAAAATACTCGATGTTTCATCTGATTACTCTGTGCACTTCATCCGACTAGAGTCACTACTCTTCACTATAAAAAAAATTGTGCAAATTTTGATACACACTATTCAACTCTCCTTTTAGTTTTATCTTTTCTCGACACTTACTTTTCTAACAAATTAGAATGCATGCTTTTTAAAAAGTCTATAATTAATGTATCCCAATAAATTAATCAAAACATGTTTTAATTAATAATATTTTAATCTAAAAATAATTAATATATCAAAAATTATGAATCATGTCTTATATAAAAGGAACAAACAATTCTTGTAAGTTGAATCTTTTAAATACAAATCGAGGTGATATATATATATATATGAGAAGAGTTCAAATGATAACATTGTAATTTTACAAACTATTACATCACTCAATAACTTTATATTAAATGTGATTTTTTGTCGATTCAAGCATTGAATTAGAACTTCATATCACCTATGTTTATATAACATTTTGTTAAAATTGAACAATTTGATGATAATCTAAAGTATTAATATTTTAATATATTTTGAAATTTATATATTACGTCAACTTTGTTTTATAAGAATAAGGTATCAAGATTAATATAAAATTTTGTATATATGATCTAAGAGTAAAGATTTTTAAATCTAACGGTAAGTTTTAAAAAAATCACATTTAGTTGAAAGTTATTAAATACTATAATAGTTTATAAAAGTTACACAAGAGTTGTTGAATCTCTCCTCCCTGTAGACACCCAATTTCGTCCGGGGGCATACAAACAAGGACATGGACCTCTGTTACGAAGGGAAGGAACGGGGGCACAAATTAAATATTTTTATTGGCCCGGAACGGGCCGTTCCAAGGTCCAGAACGGGCCGTTCCGAGGCTCCCAAAAGGCCAAAAACCCTAATTTGGAATGGCTGTTCTAAAATTGGAACAGGCCGTTCCAAGATTGGAACAGGCCATTCCAAACTCCTCAAAAAGGGCTAAAATGGTTAACTGGAACGGGGCTGGAACGGGCCGTTCCTAAAACAGAACGGGCCGTTCCTAAACCGGAACGGGCCGTTCCTAAATCTGGAACGGGCCGTTCCAAGGTCGTTCCGGTCTAAGAAATCACATGTTATTCTCACTACCGGAACGGGCCGTTCCGATTTCAGAACGGGCTGTTCTAGTGTACGAATTTTACATGCAACGGCCATATCCAGAACGGCCGTTCAGATTTTGGAACGGGTCGTTCTGGACCCCCTTCCTGAAGTCTATAAATAGACAGTTGGGGCTCATTTCTCAAGGCTCCAAAATTTCGTCCAGACTCCCTAGAGCACAAAATTTCTCTATTTTTCTCTCTCCTCCTCTCTTTGTATTTCTTGAGATTTTTGTGAGGCATTGTAGTGTGAAGGATTGCCAAAAAGCACCCAAATCTCCATCTTTGAAGATTAATAGAGCTCGTTCAAGAGGTATTTCAGCTAATTTTCTTCTCTCTCTTTTATTTTCTGTTTTTAATAAATGTTATTTATAATAAAAATAATCATGTAAACATTTTAGGATTAATTGTATAATTTAAATTTCAAGCATGTAAATAATTATTAATAAAGGGGATTAAATATTTTAATTATTAATTCTTATTACGTTATCTTCATCATAGGGTACCGATTTAGGGCGTTGTAGGGGTGCTTAATACCTTCCCTACATGTAACCGACCCCCGAACCCAATTCTGGTTATCAAGGCCATTATTGGATTCTTTTTAAAAACCTTTTCTTTTTCCAATGTTTTGAGTAAAACATTGGTGGCGACTCCATGAACTTTAAAAGGATGTTTAAACCATTAGTCGCGAGATCGAAAATTTTCGGGTTGCGACACTCACATCTCTCTCTATATATAGAGGAGAGGTCAAATGACACTATTATAATTTTTACCAACTACTACATTGTTCAATAACTTTCAATTAAGTGTGAATTTTGTTGATCCAATTATTAAATTATAAACTCATATTACCTTATATGTTTATGTTAAATTTTATTAAAATTAAATAATAATTTGAAGATAATCAAAATATTTATATTTTAATATATCTTAAAATAAATGTTATGGAAATTTTATTTTACAAGAATAAGATACTAATGATCTCTGATAAATATAAAATTATATATATATAATTTATTTAATTAAAAAATTTAAATAATATAGTAATTGATTATGGTGTTTATTCGATCGTTACGAATGTAACTGAAATGAAAAAGGACATTTTGCTATAAATTGGTAGGAGCATATGGAAGATCCTCATATCTTCTTTATCTTATTTTTAAATTTTAGATTAATACATGTTTGTTCTATTCTCCTGATTCTTATTGATATATATATTCATTTCTAAGAATGATAAAACGATATAAGATGAAAGTCATTTATATAATAAAATATAATATAAAAGAGAAGTCAAATAATATTAAGAGTTATATATATTTTAATATATATATATATATATTTAATATAATAAAAAATTAAGAATTCAAATAATAAAAAGTTTCGTAAGACGGAAGATACATATTTTTTTGAAATAAAAAATATAATATAGATAACGTAAATTAATTTCTTAATCAACAAAAGTTACATAATTAATTAGATATTATTTAAGAAATTTGTTGGAGAAGTACTTTACTCGCATTATATTTAGTATAAATTAATTAATTTTATATGTTTATATTTTAAATAAATTATATATTATTTAAAATAATTAGTAATGAGATTAATTTAATGATAGATAATTTGTGATTTAAGAGAGTGGAGTTTATTTATTGTAAGAATAAGTTACTTAATAATTCATATTTTTTTGTTAAATTTTTATTATTTAATTATTAAATTAAATTTTTTTAAAATTATATAATACTTTATAATATATATATATATATATATATATATAAATTCTTATTAGATTTAACTTATCTCTCGATCGATACGGATTAATCTAAAATGAAATTTTACAATATTGATACGAAATAAAATAAGTGTACACACCAAAAAGATGTATCAGCTCTATTAATAATATAAATTATGAATTTATATTTTATAATATATATTTATAATTTTAAAATATATATGAATAAGGACTCTTTATCTATTGTCCGTAAAATGGTAGGAAGGTCTTTCTTCTAAAAATACAACGATTGAATGGCAACTCCAAAGTCCCTGATTACGTTTCTTGGCATGTACGAATTAACATATTGGCCAAATTGAAGTTTCAATTTCGAAGACCCGCTTTTCATTTCTCTCACAAATAAACAATTGGAATCCGGTTGTTAAGAGTGAACTTTCATCTCTGGTTTGTTCAAGTGTGTATCCCCAAAAGAGAAAGAACTCAGCGAAAAAGAAGTAGCATCTGCGTCACATTCTGTTTCCTTTTTCTTTTCTTCTTTATTTTTTATTATAATTTCCCCCCTCCTCCTCCTCCCATCCTCATATGGAAATTCCAAAACATGATTCTCAATCAAATTATCAATCTTTTTGGCTCCTTCTTCTACCCAACTACAAAAAAATTTAAAATTCAGCTTCCCCTGCTCTTCACTCAAGTCCCAATAGTTGTGATTCTTTTTTGGCGGTGAAGGAGGGAAAAAGCTTAAACCTTGTTGCATTGGTGGTGGCAGGACCATGGCCAGCACAAGTGGCACGAAGGGTCCTTTTGAGACAGATTGGCAGCCAACAAAGAGGTTTGTGAGGGCTCATACTATAAATGTCGACGACTTCCGAGACGAGGAAGGTGTTGTGGACACTGAGACTGTGCCTTCTTCACTTTCTGTGCTTGTGCCTGTTCTCAGAGCAGCCCTTGCCATTGAAAAGGAGAATCCAAGAGTTTCCTATCTTTGTGAGTATCTTTATATGATTCATGTTACAATCCCCTGTCGTTAAGGTTGTCAAACTCGACTAGAATCATAAACTTGTAATATAATATGCAGCTTTATGCAAAGGCTTGTGAAGTTAGATATTCCACCTGATCAATAATTTTCCATACAAGTTCATAATTACACAAATATCAAATATGGCATATTAGAAATAGTAACACTTACACAAATAAGACAATTAAATTTTAATGAACTTTGAAAATTTTACTCTTTTTTTAATGTTATTAAAGTTTCTCATAATATTTTTCTTACAATTCGTCTCTTCATATATATATATATATATAGTTTCTCATAATATTTTTCTTACAATTCATCTCTTCATATATATATATATATATATATATATATATATAACTCATGGCTAGTTTTACTACAGAATCCACCAACTAAAGAACTAATATAAGAGGGGCAGTGAATATTTGAGAGAGAAAAAAGTAAAATGAATTGTGTTCTCTTATTATTTTCTATATCACTCTAAAAATGACAGAGAGTGAATTATATAGACATACAAAGCTTACAGAGGAAGTCACAGTCGTAACTAACATGCTGATGTGGCAAAGCCACTCAGCTTACAACAGAATACAAAAGTTACAAATAAAGCAATGCTATCTAATACTCTATTACTCCCCCACAAACTCAGGTTGACACGAACCTAGAACCTTGAGTTTGTCTCTAAAACTGTAGAATTGAACTTTAGAGAGAGGCTTTGTAAGTATATCAGCAACCTGAGCTTGAGTTGGCACATAGGAGACAATTAAAGATTTGTTGAGAACCTTTTCTCTAACAAAGAAAATATCATGTTCCATATGCTTAGTTCTTAAATGAAGACTTGGATTATGGCTAAGAGAAATAGTACTCTGATTATCACAGTAAAGGACTGGAGTTGGAATCTGAACTTGTAATTCATTAAGCAAAGATTGAATCCATAAAATTTCAGAAGTAGCCAACACTAAACTACGATACTCAGCTTCAGTAGTGGAGCGAGCTACATGAGTCTACTTCTTAGACCACCATGAAATAAGATTGGGACCAAAAAATATACAAGTCCCAGATGTGGATCGTCTATCATCCACGTCAGATGCCCAATCAGAATCAGAAAAACCCTGCAAAGATAGAGGAGCAGTAGCAGTAGTAGATTGAAAATGCAAGCCAAAATCAACTGTTTCTCAAAGATATCGCATAATACGTTTTACAGCACTCCAATGAGAAGTAAGAGGTTGTGCCATAAATTGACACACTTTATTAACAACATATCCAATTTCTGGCCGAGTAATAGTAACATATTAGAGAGCACCAACTATGGATCTGTAAGCTACAGGATCATCAAAATAATCATACCCATACTTTGAAAGCTTAAGTTTGGCTTGTTGAGGAATAGAGATGCCCTTGGCATTATACATATTAGTTTGCTACAGAAGATCTCTGATGTACTTAGCTTGATTAAGAATAACAGAACCTGAATTTGTGCATTTGACTTCAATACCCAGAAAATAATCCAAGTCACTAAGTTTCTTAAGAGCAAAAGCACCATTCAGCTTTGAGATAAAAGACTGCACTAGGGAATGAGAATTTCCAGTGATAATTATATCATCAACGTAGATCAACATATAAATGCACACTTGAGACTACTTGTAAATAAGTAAGGAGGGATCACAACAACTTTGAACAAAGCCAAAACCAAGTAACGTTTTAGTCATCCTATCATACCAAGCGCGAGGAGCCTGCTTTAAGCATAAATGGCTTTATTTAACTTGCATACAAGAGATTTATCTGAAACCTCAAACTCAGGTGGTTGCATCATATAAACATCTTCCAAAAATCCATTAAGGAACGCATTGTTGATATCAACTTGTTTAATAGGCCAATGATATGTGACAGCAAGAGTTAGGATAACTCAAATGGTAACTAGTTTAATGACAGGCGAAAAAGTTTCACTAGTCACAAACAAACTTTTGATGAAATCCTTTAGCTACAAGGCGAGCTTTATACTTATTGATAGTTCCATCATGATTTTCCTTTATACGATAAACCCATTTATAGCCAACAACAATATGGTTAGAAGGTAAGGGAACAAGTGTCCATGTTTGGTTTTTTATTAGAGCATCATATTCAAGAGACATAGCATTTTTCCATGATGGAGATGATAAAGTTTGTTTAAGAGATGTAGGTTCAGCATTAGTAAGTAAAAGTGTGGGATGTAGTATAGGTTTAACAATTCCAGACTTAGATCTAGTTTGCATAGGATGAACATTGGAGGATGATGGCGGTAAAGTATGAGCAGAGAGTGGTGACGAATTAGAAGATAAATTTGAAGTAGAAGTAGACGCAACATCATTAGAGGACAAAACCCAAGGGGAAAATTAGTGGAACTGTTTGAAACAGATGAAGTAGATGGTATGAGATGTTGATATGGGAAACACTGCTCATTGAAAATAACATCTTTGGAAAAAAACAAATGACCATTGGTATCAAGACACTTATATCCCTTATGAGAAGAAGAGTATCCTAGGAAAACACATTCTGTTGACCGAAAGTGAAGTTTATTTGTGTTATGAGGTGTGAGTAAAGGATAACATGCACGCCCAAAAACCTTAAGAAAGGTGTAATCCAGATCTTTACTATACAGAACCTGATAGGGAACAACTTTGTCATGAGATAAAGATGGTAATCTGTTAATAAGATATACAACAGTGTGAAAAGCATGATCCTAATATTTCATAGGCAAGGATGCTTAAGAAAGAAGAGTTAATCCCATTTCAACAATATTCCTATGCTTTCTTTTAACAACACCATTTTGATGATGTGTGTGAAGACAAATTAATCTATGAGTTATACCTAAATTGGTTAAAAACTGAGTAAATGGTTGAAACTCACCACTCCAATCAGACTGAACAAACTTGATTTTATGATTAAATTGAAGTTCAACCATGGCTTGAAACTGTTTGAATATAGTAAGAGCCTTAGATTTATTTTTAAGAAAATAAATCCATGTAAAACGACTGTAAGCATCCACAAAAGACATATAGTAATGATATCCCATAGAAGAAAGCATAGGTGCTAGTCCCCATAGATCACAAAACAACAATTCCAAAGGAGTGGAATAAACAGTAGTAGAAGGAGACGAAGGAAGCCTATGAGATTTGCCCATACAACAAGCTACACAAAATTGAACCTCATTTTTATTAGAAACAGGGATTTGCCCACCACCTTTATCCCCTCCAGCCCAACCACTTGAGTCTAACCTCCCTATTGCCTTACAGAAAGTAAAACCATTCTACTCGTAATCCTTCCCCTCATTATATTACTCTGAGTTATCACCGGTTATCCCCATCCCAATATACTTGTCTTTCTTCTCTTTCCTCCATGTTTAATCCTAAAAATGTAGGTGATGCCTTGGCCCACCTTGGTTGGAGACAAGCCATGATTGATGAACTGTGTGTTCTTCAGAACAATGGTACTTGGGATCTTATTTCTTTGCCTCCTAGGAAGTTTGTGGTTGGATTTTGATGGATCTTACAGTCAAGGTTGGTCCTGATGGCACCATTGATCGACTCAAAGCTCGTTTGGTCGCCAAAGGTTATACTCAAATTTTTGGATTAGACTATGGCGACACTTTCTCCCCCGTTGCCAAGATGACCTCTGTCAGATTATTCTTAGCCATGGCTGCTCTTCGCCATTGGTCTCTCTATCAACTGGATGTTAAAAATGTCTTTCTTCATGAGGATTTGCTTGAGGAAATTTATATGGAGCAACCTCCTGGGTTTGTTTCTTAGGGGGAGTCTTCCAATTTGGTATGTCGTCTTCGCAAATCACTTTATGGTCTTAAGCAGTCTCCAAGGGCATGGTTTGGTAGATTTAGTACCGTAGTCCAACAGTTTGGTATGACTCTAAGAAAAGCTGATCATTCGGTCCTTTATCGACATTCCACTACTAGGTGCATCTACTTGATAGTGTATGTTGATGATATTGTTCTTACTGATAGTGATCATCATGACATTTCTCAGATAAAACAACATCTTTGCCATCACTTTCAAACAAAAGACCTTGGTAAACTTAGATATTTCTTGGGGATTGAGGTAGCCCAATCTACAAATAGAATTGTAATATCCCAAAGAAAGTATATGCATTGGATATTTTAGAGGAAACTGGGCTAATGAGTTCCAAGCCCGTTGATACACCTATGGATCCCAATGCTAAACTTCTACCAAGTCAAGGGGAGCCTTTCTCACATCCTGAGAGGTACAGAAGATTAGTTGGGAAATTGAATTATCTCACGGTAACTCGTCCTGACATCTCTTTTGTGGTTAGTGTGGTGAGTCAATTTCTCAATTCTCCATGTGCAGGACATTGGAATGCAGTCATCCGCATTCTGAAGTATATCAAAGGTGGTCTAGGAAAAGGTTTATTATATGGCTACAACAATCATACCCAAGTTGTGGGGTACTCAGATGTAGATTGGGCAAGATCTCCCTCTGACAGGAGATCCACCTCAGGTTATTGTGTCTTTATCGATGATAACTTGATTTCCTGGAAAAGTAAGAAGCAGAATGTAGTGGCAAGATCTAGTGTAGAAGCAGAATATCGTGTTATGGCCTCTACTATGTGTGAGCTTATTTGGCTCAAACAGTTGCTTAAAGAACTGAGATTTGGCGAAGTTACATAGATGACTCTCATATGTGATAACCAAGCTGCCCTTCATATTGCCTCAAATCCAGTATTTCACGAGAGGACCAAATATATTAAAATAGATTATCACTTCATTCGTGAGAAGATTTTATATGAGGACATTACTACTCAATTTGTTAACTCTACTAATCAGTTGGCAGATGTCTTCACCAAATCATTACGGGGTCCTAGGATTGATTATATTTGTAACAAGCTTGGTGCATATGATCTATATACACCAGCTTGAGGGGGAGTGTTAGATATAATTTTATCTTATAGGCCTAGGCCCACTACTTTATATATAAACACATCTTTTGCTTTGCAATACACAAGGAATATATGCTCTCCATTTACCATTACTCTCAACAAATCTAAATGAATTTCATATTATTGAATTGATGGGTACAATAAAATAAATAGGCATAAAACATAATCAATCCCTAAAGTTTAGGAATTTAGATAAATCTGACTAAGGAAACTAAACTAGAAATTAGGAGAAGATAAACTAGTATATCTAAACTATATCTTATAGAATTATCTTAACACTCCCCCTCAAGGTAGAGCATATATATCATATGCATCTAGCTTGTTACATATATATGTTATTCTAGGACCTCGTAAAGATTTAGTAAAGATATCTGCAAGTATAATATCACATTCAAATAACATATATATTAAGAATTTATACAAATTTTTAGATATGGCACATAATACTAGTATAATATCACTAACAATTGTAGATAGCATATGTGATAATTACTTAACCTTTTAATGAACAAACAATTGTAGTTAAAAATATTAGAAAATAATGGAATTTGGAAGCAATAATTCTAAATTTTAGAAAAATGAAAAACAAAAAAAAAAATAGAAGGACTAAAAACATATTTAAATCTAAAATAATATAAAGGATAATAATAAAAAATATATATAAATAAATGATATTAAAAGAAAAAAAGAAAAAACCTAAAAGTATAAAAAATTTTGAAGTCATTTTTTTGTAAAAGGTATTTAAAAAATTAAATTATAACATTTTTTTTTCTTGATATCTACTAAATAGCATGACATTTCAAAATTGACAGTATTCTAAATTAATTCAGTAAAAAATTTTAACATCTCCAAGTTTTAATGTTTTATAATATCCTGGTATATATGTTTTTAGAGAATGAATTGAATTAATTATATAATTAAATTTTGAAATAGAAAATATCTCTCGATAAAAATTATTAATCAATAAATATGTAATTTTTTATATACTAAATATAAATATGTAATTTATTATGGGACCTAGGCAAGTCCCTATACGGCCATGCATGTTACACGGCCCTGGGTACATGGCTAATTTTATTTTCTTACCGTTCTTAAAGTTTTTAAAGGTCCTGTTTAGTACTTATTGTCTTTGGTATCTATGAGCTGGTATAATGATATGTTACGTTGATTAAATGCATAAATATTAATCTCAACATGACAGGATTTTCTCTTTTTCATTTTTAAAATTTCCGGGTTGCAGGAAGAGGAGCTTACAGAAAAACTTGGTAAAAGAAGTGATGCTAGGGAGCTGCAGAACTACTACCAACAATTCTATGAAAAGAAAATCCGTGATGGAGAATTTACCCAGAGACCGTAAGGCTTGATCTTTCACTTGTGCTTGCAAGTTTTGTGAATTGTGTTAATGTCTCATTCTTCTCATGTTTCTCTTGAAGGGAGGAGATGGCTAACAATGTTCACATTGCCACTGTATTGTATGAAGCAATGAAGACTATGATACCTTCAGAAAAATTTGAGGAAAAGGTTTGTTTTGCTTGATTAGGCTACCATGACTAAAATGTGTAAAATACTTCTAAAAATAGTGGAGATGTGGACTAAGGATGTTGTTTTATTGCCAGACAAGAAGATATGCCGAGGATGTTGATAGGAAGAGGGGGGAATATGAACACTATAACATCCATCCACTATATGCTGTTGGTGTTATACCAGCAATCATGGAACTTCCCGAGGTCTGTGGATATATGCATTGTTTGTTTTGCATCTGCTAATGATATAATTAATCCTAACTTTTTAATCTTCTTGTTTTTTTTTTCTTGAAAATTATAGATCAAAGCAGCAATTAATGCTTTATGTAGGGTGGATAATCTTCCAATTCCAGTAACTCGTGCAAGACGTGATGTTTTTATCGATGATTCTACAATGCCTATGGAGAGGCTTAAAAAAGTGAATGATATACTTGATTGGATTGCGTCAGTTTTTGGGTTTCAGGTAACAGTGAATATTCTCCCCTTTTACCTTCTATTTTCTAATTTCACTTTGTTAAGATATTTTCCTGCTTAAACTTTTAGGCGAGAAATAACTAAGTGCCACACTTATTATTAATCCACCAGACATGGAGTTTTCAAGGTGGTGTTTGGGAAAAGATAAGATTTTTCATGCATGAATATGAAGGTAGTCAAAATCAAGAATTTATATAAACTCTTTTAAGTATCATAAATTTGTAAGAATTTACTTAATATAAAAATATTTATAAATAACTTAATAATTTAACATTTTAATTTATATTAAAGTAAATAATAAAATAGTAAAATTTAATAACAAATCATGTGTAATTTTACAAGACTCACAAGTTCTTAAGATGACAGAAAATAAAAATTTGCTTGAGTGGCAGCCAGGGACGATGGGAACCCTGGAAACACGACACGATGAGAACAACCCCGAAGCAGGGGACGCCAACCGGAGAACAAAGATGCCGACCAGAGAATGTGAGTCCGATAAACGAACAGGCGAACAAGCCCTGATGCGGCGATGCTGACCAACAGATACCAGCGGGTTTTGGGTTTGTTCTGCAGCCGCGATCGAGAGGCATGTGTGAATCATGTTGTTTCGGGGCTTTTCTGAGTGAACCTCGTACACATGTAGCCGACTTTAGTAATTATTTTTAAAATTATTAATTAGTATTAATTTGGCCACTGCTAATAATTTTTATTTTTCTTAAAAATATTAGTAGTGCCGGCCATGACCAACACTAACTAGGAAAAGATAAAAAAAAATAATTAATAGGAAACATACTAATTGACCCATGCTAATTAGTAGTTGTTTTGTAGTATAATTTATACCGGAAATACATTTTTTATAATTGTTTGGGTCTCCATTTTTATATCAACTATTTTACTTTTTATCTTATTTAAAAATTTAAATTACTATTTCTTTCTCAATGTCGTCTTGGTCTCAAATCGTTTGTTCATTTCAAGTAACTACTCAATTGTTTCTAAAAATATTTTTTTTTCTTATAGAAAATAAATAGAAACACAAATTCCCTCTACCTCACTAGTAAATTTATAAATGAATTAGGATGGGATATTGAAAATAAACAAACTATGCTTAAATTACTACTTCTCATAACATTAATGGCTTCTAACTAACAGTAGTATACCGCATACATAGATTTATGTTGAGAGCATATAGAACTTTTTCTTGTGTTGTTTTCTTTTATATTTATCTTCTTGTATGTTTCAGAGTGAATTGGAATCTCTCTTTTGTACCAAAGTTATACTTTTCAATTTTTATTGTTAGCAGCAATGAAGAATACAACTATTTATGTTTTCAATGCTATTTCTGGTGAATAATCTGATTTGATGTCTCCTTCTGTTTCGGGATATGAAGAAAGGAAATGTAGCAAATCAAAGGGAGAACCTTATATTATTACTTGCCAACATGAAAATAAAGAACAGCGCTGAATCAACTAATCCGGTGAACTATTATTTCCTGCAAAAAGCTTTTGTTTTCTAGTTTTTGTTTTTTCATATTTAATGAACAGGGTGATGCTAAATTTCAAAGGTTGTGATTACTGTTTCTCTTATCATATTTCTCAACTTGATCATCAGCCCAAAAATGTTTCAGCCCAAGAGTCTCAGTCCAAAGCTCCTTGATTCGTTCTTCCCTCTGCAGCTATGGATACACTTTCCACATGTTTGTTGCACCTTTTTTATTCCTTCTATTATTACCATATCTTTCTGTTAGAATCTTTGCATATCTTTTCTGATTTTCATTTTTCACCCGTCATCCCTTTTTTGTAACCTCTTTCTCTTCTCATTCTCTTTGTATATATACGTCGCATTATCAATAAAATGTAGCAGAATGAGATTAACTACTATTCCCATTTTTCCCTTATCGTGCTCTATTTTAATGTTTATGTTTATTATGGTATCAGAGCTCTTCCTTTGAAGAGCTCTGCTGCGCCACTCTACTCTCTTTGTTCCTTCTTCATGGCTTCTATTTCTTCAATCATGAATGAAGGATTTGAGTCCATTACTAGCATACACAGTTATCTTTATCTTCACCCCAGTGAGAACCCAACTATTCCTCTTGTTTCCCCTATTCTTGAACTCAATAATTACCATACATGGAGCAAGTCCATGGAAACGGCCCTCGGTGCTAAAAATAAGCTCGAGTTTATTGATGGTAGTGCCACAGAACCACCCGCTGATGATCAACATTACAATGCTTGGAGACGATGCAACAACATGGTTGCATCATGGATTGTTAATTCTGTCTCTCTTCCCATTCGACAGAGCATAGTTTGGATGAATAAAGCTGAAGATATATGGAGAGATTTAAAAACACGGTATGCCCAAGGTGATCTCCTTCGCGTTTCTGAGCTGCAACGTGAAGCCTCATCAATCAAGCAGGGAGAGCTCTCAATCACTGAATACTTCACCAAGCTTCAGATCATATGGGATGAGTTAGATAATTACAGACCTGAGTTGATCTGCAAGTACCCAAACAAATGCTCATGTGACATTCTACCCAGTATTACCCAGCGAAGAGTCGAAGACCAAGCCATGCAATTCCTTCGTGGCTTGAATGACCAATATAGTAATGTGCAATCCCACATTCTTCTCATGGAACCGTTTCCTCAAATCACTAAAATATTTTCTTACGTTGTCCAACAAGAATGTCAACTACAAGGAAAGAACTTTGCTGCAAATATCAGCAGGGACGGAGCCAGGATTTCAATACTGGGGGGCCGAGAATTGGAATGATCAAATGAGGCGCTACATTTTTTTAAAAAAAAAAAATTCCAAAGTGATACCACATAGCAGGCCGTACCAGAAGTCCAAAAGTTGAATAAAAAAATAAATTTGGGTTATTCATTTAATTATACATATGAGTTTATATTAAAAATAGGGGGTGCCATATAGTAATATATATGTATATAAAAAAAAATTAAAATTGTTGGGGGGGCCGTGGCACCCGTAGGTCCCCCCTTGGCTCCGTCCTTGGATATCAGTGTTGAAGGAAGAAATTTGAATGCTAACACGTGCAATTTTTGTGGAAAGGTTGGTCATAGTGAAAACTCTTGTTTTAGGAAGCATGGTTTCCCTGATTCCAAGAGTAACAAATCCTCATTTGAAAAAGGAGGCAAGACATGCTCCCACTATGGATGGAATGGGCATACTGTGGATTCGTGTTATAGAAAGCATGGCTTTCCTCCCAGCTTCAAGACACAAGGAAAAAGTAACAACTCAACTATTAACAATACTGTAGTTGATGAAAGAAGAAAAATCACTACTCAAAGTGATCAAACGCAAAAAGGAGAGGATCAGGTTTTTCGTCTCACAGCTCAGCAATATCATACCTTGATGGCCTTAATGTAGCAATCCACCAACACTCAATCAGCAGCCTCTAGTTCATCCCAAGTTAACCAACTCAGTTCTGCTGTGTCCACTGTTCATCCTCCTAATGGTTATGAAAATTGAGTCACTCTCAGCACCAACACACAACACGAAAGTACTCTGGGTATTAGACTCAGGGGCTACAGACCATATTGCTTCATCACTCTCATGTTATTTTACATATTCTGTTATTAAACCCATCACTGTTAAACTACCTAATGGCCAACATGTTCATGCTACTCATTCGAGTGTAGTGAAGTTCAGTGATCAATTTATTCTTTCCAATGTCTTGTACATACTAGATTTTAGTTTCAATCTGATTTCTATTTCGAAGCTTGTATCTACTCTTCATTGTAAACTAACTTTTCTCCCTAACTCATGTGTCATACAGGATCTAAACACTTTGAAGAGGATTGGTATAGTTGACGTGTGCAATGGATTGTATACCTTGGCAGCCAGACCTGTCACTATGTCACCTACTTGTTCTTCTGTTATACATCCTGTTTCTATTACTGCCCCTATAGATTTGTGGCATTTTCAACTAGGACATCCCTCATGTAAATGCTTAGTGTCCATGATGAAACAATACTTACATCACCATCAATAAAAATTTCAGTTGCAGCACTTGTCATTATTCTAAGCAAAGAAAACTCCTTTTTTCTTTAAGCATTTCTAAAACATCAAGAGCTTTTGAAATTATTCATGTTGATATTTGGGGTCCCTGTTCTGTGATTTCCATGCACGGGCATCGATATTTCTTAACTATTGTGGATGATTTCACACGTTACACTTGGGTTTATTTAATGAATAGCAAGTCTGAAACAAGGAAACACATAATCAATTTCATTTCTCTTGTTGAAAGGCAATTTGATACCAAGGTTAAAATTATAAGGAGTGATAATGGAGCTGTTTTAATGAATAATTTCTACCAAGAAAAAGGAATTTGTCATCAAACTAGCTGCATTGAAACACCAGAGCAGAATGGTATTGTGGAGAGAAAGCATCAACATCTTCTCAATGTCACTCGTGCCCTTCTTTTTCACAGTGGTCTTCCTCCTTTATTTTGGTGTTTTGCTATTCAACATGCAGCCACTATTATTAATTGTATTCCTACCCCTATTCTGCATGAAACTTCCCCTTTTATCAAGTTATATAATAAACGATATGATATTTCTCTTTTTAGAGTTTTTGGATGCTTGTGTTATGAAAGTACTCTTGTTGCTAATCGTAAGAAATTGGATGCCCGAGCTGACCCTTGTATATTTCTTGGTTTTAAAAATTACACAAAAGGGTACCTCTTATATAATCTAAAAACTCATTCTCTTGATGTAAGTAGGAATGTTATATTTTATGAAAATCATTTTCCATACATCAAATGTTTCAATACTCAAACCGACACACCTTTATCTAATGTCCAAACCGACAACACCTTTTTAACCACTAACTACAACTTTCAGCCTGCTTCCAAAGCCACTGTTTCACATGACCGACCTGTTACTTTCACCCCTGCAACAAAACAACTTTTGTTGCCATCCATAAATGCACCACATCATACTTCTAATCAACCTCAGCCTGAATTACATTCCTCTGACCAAATTGAGCTTGATTTAAATAACAATGAATTGACCCTTTTTCAACCAAGCTTTTCAGAGTCAAATGATCAACTTAGCTCTTCTTATCAATCTTCTTCTCCTATAATTTCTCCTCCACCCACACAGATCAGACGAGCTTCCAGAACTCACTTACACTAGTGGAAAATTAGGATACTACGTCACCTATTTTACGTCGGACATACAAACACCCGACGTAATAAAAATATGGTGGCATGTTTCGTAATTTAGTTAAATTATTTACATCGGACCTCAAAGGATCCGATGTAAATTTTAACATCTACGTCGGCTATGCATTGTGTCCGACGTAGATGTTAAAATTTACGTCGGACCCTATTACGGCCGACGTAAATAACCCACATGTTTTTTTTTTGAAATTTTTATGACTTTTTTACGTCGGACCTTGGCATGTCCGACATAAATTTATGTCGATTTTCGCGCTCGACGTAAATTTACGTCTCCCGCTTCAACGTCGGAAGTTTTTCTAACGTAAAACCCCTAAAATAACCGACGTAGAATGTGTATTGTGTACTAGTGTTACCTCCTTCCTATCTCAAGGACTTTCATTGTAACATTGCTTCAACTATACCAACCTCTTCAACTGTCAGGTATCCTCTTCATTCTTTTCTTTCTTATAATCGTTTATCTAACTCTTTTCGCCATTTTGTTTGTTCCATATCTGTGATCACTGAACCACATTCCTATTCTGAGGCTTCTAAGCTAGAGTGTTGGGTTAAGGCAATGAAGGATGAGCTTACTGCCCTTGAGATGAATAATACCTAGACTTTGACTAATTTGCCACTCGACAAGGTACCCATTGGATGTAGATGGGTATATAAAGTTAAGCACAATGCTGATGGCACCATTGAGAGATACAAAGCCCGTCTCGTTGCAAAAGGATATAATCAGCTTGAGGGTCTTGATTTTCTAGATACATTTTCTCCTGTAGCCAAGATAACTACAGTTCGTATGCTGTTAGCTTTGGCTTCTATAAACAATTGGTATTTGAAGCAACTTGAAGTCAACAATGCGTTCTTGCATGGAGAGCTTTATGAGGAATTCTACATGCATGTTCCTCCAGGGCTTACAGCTCAACCTAGGCAGGTTTGTCTTTTAAAGTGATCTTTGTATGGGCTTAAGCAAGCCAGTAGACAATGGTATGCAAAATTATCTAGTTTCCTCCTTCTTCATGGTTATCATCACAATCAAGATGACCACTCTTTGTTTTTGAAGTTCTCTGGTCCCAACATTACAGCATTATTAATTTATGTTGATGACATTGTGCTCTCTGGGAATGACTTGTCAGAAATTACTCATGTCACATTCCTACTTGATCAAGCGTTTAAAGTTAAAAACCTTGGAGATCTTAAATACTTTCTTGGCCTTGAGGTAGCCCGTTTTACTGATGGTATTCACCTTTCTCAAAGGAAGTATACTCTTGATGTGTTATCGGATGTTGGCATGTTGGCTTGTGCTCCTGTCACAACCCCCATAGATTACACAA